CCAGTGAAAGGACCTATCTTGAGTTGAAACCCTAAATGTATAAGATACTGTCTGGTTATGTAGGTCTTTTGTCAGTTCTGGACTTTTGGTACCACCTATCTTGATATGTATTTTCAATACAGTCATATCCTGGAATAAATAGTTAGAACATTGAGAAATAAATAGTGATACAAAATTTATTTTGTGCATTTACGTGCAATTCACAAGCAAGTAGGTGTCTCAACTTATAGCACATCTGACCTTCATTCATGGTGCCTTTAGATGCATATAGTTGACTTCAGAATTGCAGTCTGCATTCAAAGAATCTACTCATCTTCTCTGTTATCTTCTTTATGCAGCCGGCAGTCTCTTTTGGATCATATTACAGTTCAGCTAGCATCTCGAGCAGCTGATGAGATATGGTATGGTGAAGACCAGGTGAGGGAAAATTAGCATTGTTTGTGTGATGTTTCTGAAATATCAAAATTCATAATATTCCTGCATTTTTCTAGGTTGTGCAAGTTTAAGTCTGTAGATTGTAGACTGCTACTCTTGTTACCCATCTATGCTTATTAGTGTTATGTCTTTTCTGTTAGGCTGTGATTATAGTAAGAAGTAAAGGTCAAGTTAGCAAGACTTTTAATTCAGTGTGCCCATAGTTAAAAGCTTCCTATCTGCAACTCAATTACTATTTTTTTTTTTGTTTCATAATATGATTGTTCAAGTTCTCATGCTTGCTGTATCATAAGTTAACTCCAAATCCATATTAAGTTTCCAGCCCAAGTTAGTCTGTATAGTACTTTATTTGGCGAAAGCTTCTTATTTCAGCAAATAGACATTTCTTAAATTAAATACAAGTTTTTGATGGAGTATTATGCTGTGAGAAAATAATTAGCTTTCTTGGTAAAGCTAATTATGGGGGACTTGCTGTTAGATGGCAAATAGACTCTAGATACTTTAAATTTGCAGTGCAGTCTTGTATACTTGAGATTATAAAAGGTTCTGGAATTTAGTGCTTTGCTATGGTTTAGCCTTTCTGCACTATACTTATTTAAATATAAGTGTGGGACTTGAGATATAGCACAAATCTGAAGACACTGCTGGGAAAGTGAGAGGTTCTTCTTTGAGTCACCAGGCCATTGATAATTTGACGGGAACATTGCTAATGTATCTCTTCTATTCCTTTGCACGAGGATGAGGCATTGGATCGTAAGGGATGGAGGAGGAAGATTTTTGTTGATGATAAGGCTTTGATTGATTGATTCCTTTCCTCATGAATGTCAGTCTCTTTCTGAACTTCTAGTTTTGTACATCTGACGAATGTTAATATGTGTTGGTGCATGGATGATAGTGCTTAATGCTATTTCTCAGTGGACTTCAAATCAAATTCTCAACAAGGGTAATGTTAGCATTTGAGTAAAAAAATAATAGAAAAGAAAGGCAAGGGAAGAAGTTTTTTTTAGCTACAAAGGCATTACAAGTTACAAATGGGGGAGGGGATTCGAACCTGTGACCTAACGTACACAAGCCCTCAGTCTGGCAAGGGAAGAAGATGATGTGGTAGAGTATTGTTATAGAAATAATAATCTGCTATCTGGTTTATTATGTTTATCCTTCTTGATATCTGCTTGCTAGCTTACTAACTTTTGTTTCTTCTGCCCTCCTTGGTAGATATGACTTTAACTGCACTGAACTCTTGCAGTTGAGCACGATATGGGCTGAAACAGCTGATAATGCCCGGTCAGCAGCTCGTACTTTTGTTCTTGGCGGCCTGTCTGAAAAACATCATGGTTTAAACAACTTCTGGGTTTCTGAAAAAATTGATGTAAGCATTCCCAGCAGTTGCTATTACTTTTTGGCTAAAGCTCAGCTTTTACCAGTGTATGTTGAAACCAAATAAAATTGAGACCAGGTCCCAGCTTTTAACTTTCTTTAAGCCCCCCCCACCCCCCCCCCCTTTTTTCTTTTTTTTTTGGGGGGAATGGGACAACCTGCTTATTCCTGTTTGGTATATGTGTCTAATGGTTTGATTTATACATTGCCAATTATCAGGACATTGATCTGGAGGCAATAAGGATAGTCAACTTATGTTATGAACGTGTTAAGAAGGTATAGTAGATTAGTGTTGATGGTGTTATCTGTTTGCTGGTTCTATTGTATGACTGTTTGTTCTTGTCAGATCTTGCAACGTAACCGGAAGCTTGTGGATGTTGTGGTTGACGTACTCATTCAGAAGAAGAGTTTGGCAAAGAAAGAATTTTTTGACCTTGTTGAGATGCATGGGTCTCTCGAACCCATGGCACCAAGTATTCTTGATATTAGAGCTGAGAAACGTAAGCTGCTCCAAGAAACGATTACAAATCAGAAAGCTGCTATTGCAAGCAAAGTTTAAGCGAGAAACTTATAGGATCTTCTGTCTCCTTTCAGGTGATTATTTTTTTTGACCATTTCTTGTCATCATGGAATTCTATTGTTTCCTTTGATCATTTATCTTTCAAGGGTCCATGAAAAACCTTTCTGCTTTCTGGGGATAAAGCACTTCAAACCCCTCTGGCTCAATGTACTCTCCAACCCAGGGAAGATTACTGGCTGGCTCATTTTGTTCTGAAAATTAACGTTGAAAAAGAAAAAGAAAGAGAAATTCAACTGTCTTTCTTAAGAAGATTGCTTAGTTGCCAACATTTTCCCATCTATCATCTTAAGTTCTATTTGTAATCTACGGAGTACTTGTATGAGTATATAAAAATAATAAAATGAGAACATAATATTTCAGTAGGTTATCTACTATATTTATTACTTAGTATTATGCTATTTGAAGGAAAGATGACTGTTGCATTTTGTTTGCAGTAAGCTTGTGCATAACTGGCTGAAATGAGACTGAAAGTTCATTTTTTGTAATACTCTTTAAATCTGTTCTCAGCAGGATTGGAGGAGGTGATCTTCAAATCTCTAAATCTCTTGCTTGTTTGCTTGAGAAGAACAATTCGGTATTTGATGGTTGTCATCAAATTTAGAGTGACGAACCATGCTTGTGTGCTGCGCCTATCTGAATGCCTTATTGTCAGTTGCTGCAGGACATGTACTTCACCGTCCATGGACTTTCTACTGCAGCTTCAGCGGAGATGCCTTGCTCCTGGTTTGAAAGAGTGGATGCTGGTCAACTGCAGATAGACGGGCAGCAAAAACTACCACAGATTTTTCAAAACTTCGAATTTTGCCTTTTGTATATGAAATTGTTAGAGCTTCTAGTTTTTGACCCTTCGGGAGAATATAGGAGATGTTTTCTTTTGTTCCTCTTTTTGACCCATTGATGATATTGCTTTAATCCCCTGGGAAGTCTAATAAATTTATCTACGTAGTAAAATTTTGGTTTTGTAATATCAGCAACACTGCATTTATTTATTTATTTATTTTTCATAATTCGAGTTTGTAACACTTGTAAAAAGAAATTAAAGTTTTTGGTATGGTGACTGGTGAGCCCCTTTTGCTTATATGGACCTAATTGGGGTGTGTAGTATGGTCGTGTTGAGCAAATAACTTCTGTAATACAAAGAAGTTCTAATTTTAAATATTTTAGCCTTCTTGGAAGTACTGTGAAACACTAGCATTTATTTTAAGGGATAGTTGAGCTTGCCATGGCACAACAAATGGGCTACAAACAAACCTCTTATGAATGTGGTAACTCAGAACAGCTTTTGGCTCATGTCGTAAAAGGGGTAGAACAAGAAAACAGAGGAAGTGATAGTCCCCTATTTTTTGCTATGCTGGAGCCTCGGAACAGCTTTTGGCTCATTTCGTAACCTAAAGTTTAGGTCTGTCTAATAAATAAGTAAAACTAAATTTCGAGTAATATTCATTTTACCTATTTGTGTCTGTGTGACTCTGTGTACAATATATATATAAATAATTAAGTCCTTAAGGGTTACTCGTATGATTTATGTAACTCTTAAGCCGTAATGCATATAAAGCATTACATAAAACATTTTCTTAAAATGGTGGGTATAAGTATAAGTTTAGGAATTTATAACAAAATCATGTATTAATTGTTGATGTTATTAATGCTTAATAATTCTTAATATTTTTATTTATATTCTTAAATGCAGCCATGCATTTATCATTTTCCAATAATTAATCCTAATACTACGTATAGTGATATGCTTTTTTTTCAACCAAGCATTTAAAGTTTTAAGCTTTTGACTATTGTGTGCTCTGCCTCAAGTTATTATTTTGAATATGGATTACTTATCATCAACTTTTTTTTATTCTTAAATATTGAACTTATTTTATTTAAAATAAATGAAATTAAGGTGAGCATAACATGACCTGAGTTAAAAATGAAAACATAATTAAAACTTTTAAAATAATTAGATATGTTACAAATTTATTTCATATATATCCAATTGTCATCCGTCATCACAATATATTATATCCACCAAATTAGCAAGGATGTAAACCTATATCTATAGGTAATTGACATCTACATTTTCCTTACAACTAATACCAATTTAGAAAACAAATAAATCTTGTCTCTTATATTTTTTTATAAAGGTAAATTATCTCCAAATAAATATTCACAATAATGCTACAATCTATTAGTAAGGAAATAAATATATTAATTTTTATCATCATTATGTCTATTAATTGAATCAACAATAGAAAGAAAAAAAGAGAGCATATAATCGCTATTTAAGGAAATTGAATCAAATCATTGTGAGAAGTAAATGCATACAATTTCTTAAAAGCAATAATACTACCAAAAAACATCATATTATATAGTAATAAATAAAAAAGACTCGCACAATCCATGAATACCTATTGGATAATAAAAAATTCTTGTATGAGATGTTTATTCTTTAAGATAACTTCACTCTTTCAATTAAAAACAAAAAATGGTATCATGTTATTATTATTATTATTATTATTATTATTATTATTATTATTATTTTTTTTTTTATTTATTATTATTTTTTTTTAATCAGTGAACTTGCACGAATAAAAATTACAATAATCAATAATTAAATTATTGTCAACAAATTTTTTTCAAAAGAAAAAATAAAAAAAATCAAAGAAAAGATATTACGGAGTACTAGTAGAGACTAGAGAGTTAGGATTGAAAAGATAAGTGTTGGAAGTTTAAAAGGTAAATAATTTTCAAACGGTAAAAATTCAACGCACCTATACTATACACGTTGATTCCCAAAGATTGAGTCAAATTAGTCAATAACAATATTAATTACCCCCACATTATTATTAACTTCTCCCACGTCCCTTAATATCCTCTCCTTTTATTCTAACCGTTTCAATCCCTTTAACCCTCTTATATATATATATAACCTTTACTAGCCGACTTTTTCTATTCATTTTCATATTAATATTTTCATTCTTATTCCTCAAAAAAAAAAAAAAAAAAATTGATATTTAGAGAGAAATATTACTATTATTATTGTGTTATTAAGATGAAGGTTAATATGAGATTTATTTCACTAATCATGATTAGTGTGATAATTGGGATGCAATTAGGTGTTGTGGACTGTTTTAAGAGTTTTGATGTTGGTGGTAATTTTACTTGGCGTGTTCCTGATGGAAATGATACTGAATTCTTTGATCATTGGGCTGAATCCCAACGATTCCATATTGGAGATTCTCTACGTATGTTTTTATTTTATTTTATTATATAGTTTCATTTTTATTTTTTTTTTCATTCATAATTTAATATGTTGCATCTATCGTATCATTATTTTTCACTTTATTGTGTGTTGAATGTTTTAAAAAGAAAGTTATATCATACAATGAATGGTAATAGAATTTGGAATAATTAATTTCTAGTTAGGGTTTATATGCTTTGTTACGAGTTTATGTTTTTCTATTCTTTATTATTTTTAAATTTAATTAATGGTAAGTTTGTAATTCGTTCATTTTGTTTGGAGTGTATCATTTATTTATAATAATAAGCCTAATGGATTCATTGAAATTAATTGAGAGTACATCTTTTGAAATCATAAAGCCAAAGAATGAAATGTTTAGGGTTTATATGTTTTGTTATGAGTTGATGATTTTTTTTTTTTTTTTTTTTTCATATGAAGTTTTAGTTTATAATTTGTTCATTTCGTTATGGTATGGTACAAAGTATTTTATATTAATAAACCCTAAGGATATTGAGAGTACAATTTATAAATTCATAAAACCAAAAAGGGAAATCTTTTTATAATAAGTCATGAATAAGACTTAAGAGTGTAACTTTTTTTATTGGTGTAGATTAGCGTTTATATGTTTTGTTACGAGTTTATTAGTTTTTCTAATATAATAAATTCTACTTTATAATCTGTTCATTTTGTTAGAGTGTATGATTTTTTTAATAACACTAAACCTAAAGGTATCTACTGAAATCAATTAAGAGTACGATTATTAAACACTTAGAACCTGACTTTATTTTTTTTGTCAATGAGACAATTCTTTTATATTATGAAATGCTTTTTTATTTATTTTTGATGATGCAGATTTTCAGTACAAGAATGATTCAGTTCTAATGGTGGACAAATATGGCTGCTACCACTGTAACAAAAGCAACGCCACTGCTACGTACACCGATGGCAACACCGTAATTAAGTTGGAACGTCCGGGATACATCTACTTCATCAGTGGGAATGAAGATCATTGCCGAAAGGGACAACGATTGATCGTCGATGTCATATCTCCACATTCACCTCCAGTGGCGCCTCCACCTGGTTCGCATGGTCAGCCACCCGAGTCACCTGCACCAGCCGCCGAGTCTCCTGCACCAACAGCTGAGTCTCCTGCACCAACGGCCAAGCCTAGCTCGGGTTCTCAACTTCAAGTTTCGGCTCTTGTAGGGCTAGTTGCTACTTCTTTGTTCTTTGTTTGATAATATTGCACCATGAGGAAATTATATGTAGGGCGATTGGAACCATTTTTAAATTGTATGTTATTTAAAGAAGCATTGCTAGTATTCTAGTATATTGCTATTGTGTAGGTAATTATGGACATATGATTTTTCTCCGTCTGTTTTAGGGTTTATATTGTTGATTAATCAAACACATTCAAATGTTTTATTGTTAGTTTTGCATTTGGTGCCATGACGCCATTTTCTTGAAATCTTTTTGCTTTATAATATTTGAGTATAATAATTGATTATGAAGTATTAATTATTATTTTCTCTAAATCTTATCTATGCTCATAAACTTTAAGTATGGTCGTAAAAAGATGAGTTGTGCTAAAAATAAAATTCGATGAAGGAAACAACAAACAAGGTTACGTCGTGCAAACTCAAATTGGTCTTAGTTGTGCTAAAAATAAAATTGTGTTGGTGATTCTTTTCTTGCTGGTCAACTCGTTATATCCGTTATAACTTATATTAGGCAATTTTGGAGATGAGAGATGAAAGTAGACCCAAGTGATAGGAGAAAGAGCTTACTAACTAAAAAGAAAAGTGATGTAACTAATTTGAAACTTTCATATAGGAAAGTGATGCAATTAAAAACAAACAGAGTATGGATTATAATACCATGTAGATTCATGGCTTGGTTTGCCTAAGATTAGACGTGGCTTGGTAATATTTAAGTCGCTATAGTACAATAAAGCAAAAAGGGCAATTAATATTAGTCGTTGGGTTTGTTTGGGGAAGAGGGCAACTTTATTCAAAACCATCCTCTTTGAACCGAAAAAAATAATGGATTTTGGATTTTTCATTTGGTATCATTGTTCTTTGGGCTTTTTCAATTGGTACCAATTTTTTTTTTTAGATTCCCCATATGCCAATATACTTTTAATTTATTCAAAACAAATTTGTTTTGTATTCTTCGATTTGGGTGCCATTAAAATTGCTCGGTTATGATTTTAAGGCGTTGTTTAAGTCTTAAAGGTCAAATTTGAGTTTGAAATTAGCTTTAAAATGCTAAAAAAATGCCTTGTTTAATGTGCAAAATAAATTTCTCGCTTTGCATGTTTCGATTTGTTTCATTAAAAAAAATGTTCGATTAAAGTTTTGGCGGTCATAATTACTTAAATTTTGAAGTCAAAATTAAAAGAAGAAAAAAAATACCACAAATGCCCTAAACTAATGTTTTATTTGGCAGGAGGTTATGGTAAAGAAGAAGTCAAAAATACAATGGTACCTTGTGGAATACGGGGTAAAAATAAAAATTGGCTACCATATAGAAAGCCCAAAGTACAATCATACCAAATAGAAAATTCCAAAAATTACATTAAAAAGTAAACCTTCCATTTCATTTCTGCGCTTCTGTAATCTCTCCAATAAATTCTTTCAATTACTCAAATTATTTCTCAAATCTACAACAGTTGTTGGCTTGTTGCTCTCAATCCATCTTCTTTTTCGTCTAATTTCAATCTCTTTGTCAAGGTAAATCTCTAATTTCACTTCTTTATTTTTTTATTTTTTTATTTTTTTAGAGATAGATTTAGGAATTAATTTGAGAATTTTTTCAACGAATTTGATAACCTATTACTTTTTATTTAAATTTCACGATTGTAATGACGATTTGTTTGAACTCCGACAATTAACTAGTTATAATGAAGAGATTGTATCTAAATCAATCAATGCTTTCATTTGTTATTTAATTCATTATGTTGATTACAGTTGACATTGAGATAGCCTACGGGCGATTGCAGTGACACATATTTCATTTGAAGTTTCAAGGTTTTGGGTTTTGAACTTGATTTTTTAGTGTTTATTTATTTATTTTCCTCATATCTTTGATTTAGACGTTTGTTTTGCATTATATTTGTAGCTTATTTTTTTATATTAATTTTGATTAGTGTTTGCTCTTTATTTTTATTATTTTTATTTTTTTTTATTTTAACTTTTAGCTGGGTGTGAGAGGTAATGACGAATATAACATTTTTTTTATAAGTTGTTCAAATTAACGTGAAACAAATTATATTAAAGTTATTTATTAATTAACAAATTAAATAAATCTACCTATACAATACACATTATTGACACATATAATTATGTGTATTGATATATTACTCATAATTGTTATATTATTTTTCTCACGAATGTGCTGATATTGAAACATATGACAACTGTTCTGTAAATGTGTTGAAGAGAAGAGAATGATTGTTCTACTAGCTGTAGTCAGCACCTGTGTAGCTGCTGTCCATTTCAGATGCCGTGCAACCTGATTTGTTGTGGTCTGATACACTAAAGGAGCAAGCTTCTAATTTTACGCCAGGTTGTCTTTTCCCATGCCCTTGGTTTTTGTGTTCTTGGCTGCTATAAATACCCCTACTCTCTGCTCTTTAGTCCTAGTTATAACATTGAGGACCATGGTAATCCTTAAGTGTAGGGGAGAGATCATAGCATTTTTCTGCTATGGCCTTTTGTGTTGAACTTATACTTAGTTTTGGTTTGGTTTGTGTTGCCATAATGCCATGTATGAAACATGGCTGAATTTTGTGCAGGTTTTCATGGAAAGACATGATTGATTAGAATTTAGTAAAACATTTGAAAGTTGCTAATCCTACTTAAATGATTGTGAGTAATTAAAGCTCAAGAGTCTTTATGTGAAGTGTAAAATATATATAGGAATATCAAAATGAGTCAAAGATTTTATTCCAACAATCGAAGCTAGCAACTAAACTCTCTAAACTAGAAAAGTGTCTGGAATGTCAAATGTAGTAGAGTTTTTTTCATTTGGGGTTATCTTGTTGAGCTTAGCATCTACGTTGATTTCCACCTCAAGTAAATATGAAATCCCTTCTTCTTTCTTCATACTAAGGCGAAAAGACGACCCTATTGCTTGGCGAGTATCAACTCTCTCCCAATCAACTCCAAACTTGTTGCATGTGTCGATAGAGAATTGTCAGTAACCTTCATTTGAGACTATTAGCAAACTTATTTTTGCACAGTCGATTTGTTTGAACTCCGACAATTAACTAGTTATAATGAAGAGATTATATCTAAATCGATCAATGCTTTCATTTGTTATTTAATTCATTATGTTGATTACAGTTGACATTGAGATAACCTACGGGCGATTGTAATGACACATATTTCATTTGAAGTTTCAAGGTTTTGGGTTTTGAACTTGATTTTTTTAGTGTTTATTTATTTATTTTCTTCATATCTTTGATTTTGATGTTTGTTTTGCATTATATTTGTAGCTTATTTTTTTTTATATAAATCTTGATTAGTGTTTTTTTTTTGCTGGGGTGTGAGAGGTAATGACGAATATAACATTTTTTATAAGTAGTTCAAATCAACGTGAAACAAATTATATTAAAGTTATTTATTAATTAACAAATTAAGTAAATCTACCTATACAATACACATTATTGACACATATAATTATGTGTATTGATATATTACTTATAATTGTTATATTATTTTTCTCACGAATGTGCTAATATTGAAACATATGACAAACGTTCTGTAAATGTGCATGTAGCTGTATCCCAATACGTACTAATGCCTTTAATTTTGTTTTTCTAGGTTGTTGTAACCGTCTTCAAGAACGTTGATCTTTCGAAGGGGACACTACTAGAAAACAACCTATTTTCGACGGAAAAATTCCGTCGGAACACCCTGAATTTCGTCATAACCGGTTGTCGAAAGAGGTTTTGAAGGAAAAATGACCTTTTCCGACGGAAATACTTTCATTGGAAGAGGATTTCCGGCACCGGAGAAGTTCGTCGGAAATTTCCGTCGGAAAATGCTTCAATGAAATTTTAAAAAATACGTTGCACCACCACCGGTACGGCGTATCACCACCAACAACGCCTAACTAACCCTAACTCGAACATCAGACCACCACCGCCACTACCCCATTACATCAGACCACCACCACTCCACCAGCCTCTAACTAACCCTAACCCTAAGGCCAGACCATCAGACCGCCACTCTCCCCACCCTAACTCTAAACCCACCTAAGCCCATAGCCACCACAAACCCAGCGCCACCCACCACCACCACCACCGAACCCTAAACCAGTCCTACCTAACCCAAACCCTGACCGAACCCTAACCAAAACCCCACCAAACCCATACCCATATCCACCCACCTAAAACACCCAAACCTTGACTGAACCCTAACCAAACCCACCTCTCTCACCAAATTAACCCACCCCACCCTAACCCTTAGCCCTGGCGGCCTGACCTAAACCCACCTAAGACCACCGACACCCACAAACATAACCAAAAGACCATCGCGTCGCCACCGACAAACCCTAAGGCTAGATCTACACCACAATTACATGAACACAAACCACCCACCAGCACCGTAGTTTCCTGACACAAACCACCCACCAGTCCACCGCCACAGCAACTCAACCACACATCACCATAAAATTAAAAAAAATCTCAAAAACCAAAAATAAGTAAGATAAAAAGAACATACCTTGAATGTCACCAACAAAACCCCGAAATTGTCTTGAATTTGGGTTTTAAAGGTCTAGAGTTTTCATGGTCGAATTTTTTTTTTTTTTTTTTTTTTTTTATCAAAAGTTTTTTTTGTTCATCAAAACCGCAAGTCCGCATTCTCTCTCCTATCAAAACTCTCACCACCGATTGTTCAGTCCTCCGTCACATCGTGGCTCTGGCAATCAACCTGGACTATCTAGCAGCCCTTCATCGGCAAGAGTCGGTGACCTCACATCCCCAAATTTGGTTCTTCATTCTCCAGGTAACCAGACTCTTTTCTTCCTATTCTATTTGAATTTCAAGGAAATTTTGAAATCAAGGCTTCATAAAATCATATGCTATCACATTGATATGTTTAATTTTTGTTTTATCTTTCTTGTTTCAATTATTATATTTAATTTAATTTTTGATTTGGCGGAAAAATAAAATTAGGGTTTCTATGTTTAATTTCTCTTTTTGTTTCAATTATTTTTTTTAGGGACTTATAGAAAAGTAATTTGTTGAAATATAGAACCAAAATTACAATTTAAATGACGAAAAATTTATGGCCGAGGACGTTGATTTTCTAAAGCATGTTTCTTGCCAGTTGTCATCTTCTATTTTGGACGGTCGCTTGGTTTATTTATATTTATTGGAGTTGGGATGTTTATTTATTTAATGATGTGATCAATTCAAGATTTTAGGTGTTTATTTAGCTAATTAATGGCATGATTAGTTGAATCGTTGAATTGTATAATTATATTGATATGAGCTTGAATTGGTAGTATTGTGATTTGATTATTTTGTTTATATGTTGAATTTTCTATGAATAGTAATTGACTGATATGGTTGCAAGCCACATATGTGGTTAATTAAAACTGGGATCACTATACTTCATCTTGACTTCTTGAGGTATCAAAAATAATGTTAAGACAAGTCCTTAGTATGTTACACACCTGAACAAGATACCCTAGAAACGTAGTACATCTTGAACATGTCTTACCACATTAGGATTTCAGTTTTTTAACTTTGGAGATTGGTGTAGGCATGTGATTGCTCATTACTTGATGTATATTGCAAAAATTTTGATTTTGAGCAAAGAGTTACCTAATTTTTTTATTTAAATTAATCTAAGAGATTCAAATTTGTCTGTGACTATGTTTCAGAATGCAATTTTAGTTTTTTCTATAATTTGTTATTTGACATGAGTATCTTGTGACTGCTGAAGGCTTTAAAAGCTTACTGAATCACTTTACTGCCGAATAAATTGGTGAATGAGATTGCACAGTAGTTCCCTTTTATAAATGCCTTCAGGTATGAGTTGTTATATGTACTCGAGATGTTTTAAATTTTCAAATTGAACTAGATTCAACAAACATTGTCCTAAGGTAGCTACAATTGGAAAAATAACGTGTGTCTACCAACAATGTAATATCATTCCCTAATATAAATGATTATTTTTCTATCTTTTAGTTATTGGAATCACATTTTTTAGGTGGCTGACATCTAATTTTGTTGCTTTTGTATTTAGTTCAATACAGTTCCCAACAAATGCAAATACTTTCTCTCGCTTCTTTAATTAAGCTAGTAAGCAAAGAATTATAGTAACAATAGGCCTTATAAATCTTTGATTGATATTTTTTGCGTGTTTGTTATCCTCAAAAAAGTAGTGTAAGCTTCTAGGAGGGTAGATACCATAGATAATGAGATATAAGACGTAGTGCCAAATTCAGGTCTGCAAAATTTATTGAAATGCATTTTTTTTATAAAACAAAAAAAAAAAAAAAATTTAAAAAAACTAGCTTATACAAGTATAAGAGTTATGCGGCTTCTGGGATTTCTTTCCTCCATTGAAACGACTTATGAGGTAAGATTTTCTTTCTTCTAATTAATCATTGTATGTCAATTTTACTATTTCGGTTTATCGAAATTTACTTGTTAGTATAATCAATTTGGGGTTCTTCCAAGGTAGACTACTAAACTATTGGTGATAGTCATTGAAGTCATGAAATATTATATTCAGCGATTAATTTTTTTTGTTGTGCTAACATACTCTCTGAATATTGATGGATTATTTGACCCACCCTTTAATTTTTTGACAATACTTCCAATTTTATTTTCAAAATAACCTGATTTCTTGTTCTGAAACCCTTTGATTTTCTTATTTGAGTGTATTGTCAATGCCCTCCTCATTAATTTGATGACCCAATTGCTTGATCTGATCAAATTTGGTTTATTTAAGTTGCTTTGTTAAGTGGGATTTGTTTGATTTTTGAGTACCATAACTGATGAGACTCAATGCGTGTGTTGCCATCGTTGGGTATCTTGATTCTTGGAACTATTGTGGTTATGTTTGTGTGAGAATTCTTTTGTTACGACAGCTATATGAAAGTTATTTACAAGGATATGGATTGCCTAACACAATTCTTTTTTCTTTTTTTTTTTGTTTATTATATTGAAAACTCATTTTCAGTTTTGGTCTTTGATTGAGTGGTTCCTAAAATTTAATCAATACTTCTTTGTGTTTCATTGTGCATCATAACTTGACAGTTCAGAAGCTATATAGGTATTTAGGACAGATAACGTAATTCAGCTAGAGTGATGTCAGAAACAAAATCCAAAACAGTAAGTATCAATAGCCCCTCATCAATATAAGTAACTTTTAAAATTAAAAGGTTTATTCTACTAATTTAGAGTGGCACAACTCTTTAGCCTTCTCTACGACCCTGGCAGCTATTTTATTCAGATCATTGTCCACATATGGCAAAATTTCGGAGCCTCCTTCAGATTAGTGAGTATTGGTAGCATTTAATTTCTAATGCTTGCATTAATTTGTTCCAAATATATATTATATATGCTTTGTTTGCAGATAAATTGTTTTAATTTTCTTGCATGGAGGAGGAATAATATAAATGAGAGGTATAAAGAAAGGAGAAAGAAAATTGCTCAAAGTGTTGCTAATTCCTTTTCAGATTAATCTAAAGTCTTAATTCCTTTTATCTTTTCTAAATTCTTATTGTTATGAATCGTTTTATTGTGTGAAGACTTCGTGGTTGTGAGATATTTGCTCTATTTACAATATAAATTGCATGTGTTATGATTTTGAGGCCTTTTGTATAATATATTGATATATTCAAAAATTTTTATAGCAGATTTGGGGTTACTTATTGCAAATCAAGAAAGAATGTATTCTTACCTCTTTGGATTGCAAGCCTATTATTCTTGGCTGCTAACTGTTTCTTTATTTCTTATTGTGACAGTTGGCTTTAGTTCAAAATCAACATTATTGACCTCCCTCAAAGAATTTGCAACAGGCCTCTAGTGCTACAACTGAATTTGCAGCAGGCCCTGGTGCTGTTGTCGCTGTCACAGTTACCGCTGTCAGTACTACTGCTGCTGCTGCTGTCTGCTGTTACTGTTGTCTGCTACTATAAACTGCTGTTTGCTGATGTATACTATTGTTTGGGAATTTGGTTGTCTAGAGATCGAAGTTCACTTTCTTTTTGTTTTGATTATTAGATTGTTTAGCCAAACAAAAAAAATTGGTGTTTATGGATGTTTTTTTTAATGAAATAATGAAATTATATCAATTCAAATTATTGTCTATTGTGTATGTTAATTTCATATTTGTGGTTGTATACGTTAATATAATTTTTATATTGAAAAAACTAATAATAATTAATAAAAATTGCATAATAACAATAATAATATGTTACTTATTAATTAACGAGGTGTTACATTAGTTGCAAAAAATGATACATAATTTTGAATAAAGTGTTACTATATATCAATTGATGTTTGAAAATGTTACCTAATGATCAACAAGGTGTTATATTAGTTCAGAAAAGTGATACATAATGTCGGATAAAGTGTTACTTTATGATTGAAAAAATGTTACCAAAGATAAGAAAGTGTTACATAGGAAATAAAAGTAACACTTTAAAAATGATACTAATGAAATAAAAATGTGTTACATAAGAGGGTTTATAGTAACACTTTTGAAAGTGTTACCATACGCTATCCAAAGTGTTACATAAGACCTTAGGTAACATGGGCGGATGTATCACCTACTAAAGTGTTACCTATTGTTTATAATAACACTTTCACTACTTTCTGTAACACTTTTTGGGTGTTACTTAAGGTTAATTATGTACTAGTGAAAAAAAAAAGAAAAAAAAAGGGGGAGTGTTTTTAGCATTTTGCTTTGAGTTTGTGTCGAGTTAAAGTGTTTCCTTATAGCTTTGAGTTTGTTCTTAAGTTATAAGATTAGGGTGAACTTTGAGTGTATCTTGAGTTCTTGCCTAAGATCCAGAACTTTGAGTGTGTTCTTGAGTTTTGGTTATCTATCACATTTCGTGAGTTTTCTAGTGTAATTCGTGAGTAACACGTTCTAAAAAGTTTGAATCCATCAACCTATATCTGGTGGGTTTATTTAGATTTACATCAACCTATGTCTAGGTGGGTGTATTATATAGCCCACCTTTTAAGTGATCTGCATGAGCAGCACCATATGTAGAAGTCAGTGCGTTATTAGGAGGGCCTGCCAGGAATGAAGTTGGAGCATTATTCAGCATCTACTCGGCAGTACGTTATTTGAACTCCACTAGTGTGATGTCTCACAACTCCTGAACCCCAACTCAACTGAGATGAATGCCCAAACTTCAACTCAATGCTAGAAGAAATAGGACCTCTCAGCCAAACAACTGAATTGTTGTAGGCTTTAGAATCAACTCATTACAAGTTCAGGAAAGCAGAACTAGACAATTCAAATCCTCACAAGATAAAGAGAATCTGTGTCAGGTCATGTCTAACTCCTAGCAAAGCATACGAATACCAAAGTTCTCTTAATGTTTTCAAGTCGCGCAGATTAGTTTCATTACTTCCAGGAACTTATTTTCAATGTAATGCAAAAGATTGTTTGGATTTATCATTGAATTTTCCATGTTGACTAAGAAAACAACTTTCTTCAAGTAAAAAACTTCTTTCATGAAATTAACAAAAGTAATATCGTATACAATACGTATGGCAAATAAGTTAAAAAACTGACAATTTTAGATTCCAACACAATCATGCATAGACACAGGAATGAATCAAACAAAGAATTTCATAACAATAAGCAACAATTTTAATGTTTAGGAGAGTCAAAGTAAAAACATTTAGTTGACAAGAATGTAATTGATATAACTCATCTTTAATTTGCTTGATCGACCTAATGAGTAATGACTACTGCCAAGCTAAGTGGTTTAACATTTAGTATGAGTATTGATTTTTGGAAGATCTATTACATCCAGCCGCCTCTATGATAAGGTTTAAGCAAGTCTGAAGCGAAGCTCTTCCAGCACCTTAGCAGTTCTGGAGGACAGTTTACCTTAGAGCTAGGGACCTCCCTCCCCCTCCCTAAATGAGGGTATTTTCAAGATGAGGGCTTTTCTTGATATGTGCAGAAAAAATTGTACTTGTAATAATTATAAGTTGATGTTCACCTCATAGAAGAAAGCAAATCAACAATTTCATAATCGAACGAGTGTCTTTCTGATGTGCATGGTGTATAAAGCATCAACATAATTACATGCACCTTTAGGGAAACACAACAGCAAAACTGACGCACAATGCAAGCAGCTTAATTACTACCAACATGAATTTTATTTTATTTTTTTTCTTTTTTTGGAAGAAACATGAAAACTTAATATAATTCCACCCATAATCTATAATTTTACCCGATTACAACAGAATGAAATAATTGAGAATGACTTCAGCTGAAGGGACTGGTGATTGTTCAATAATAGGAGAAAGAATAATCATAAGAGAATAGTGAAGCAAAATGTCACTCCTAGTTTTTTTAATTAATATTTCCGATATCAAGCAATTTGAGGCTTTAATTGTTAATCAACATCTGATTTATCACACACTATGTAAAATACTCTAGCATCGTATTCAACTGTCAGGTGAAATTATTTAGTTCAATCTATGTGAAGATCAGATCATATAGACCGCAGGCCATGTCTTGCAGCTTAACACCTAGAAAAAAGATGTACATGTGTAATTCCATTCATAGCCGACCCAAGGAAATTAAGAAAATAAAAGATTGGACCCCAAGAATAAGTAAGCATATCATATCACTAATAAATAAAGTTTGTCCCGCACCTAGGTCACGAGACAGCGACACTTGGTATTCAGTTTTTTCGCCAAGTGTCACGCCACATAGGCAATAATAATAGGTATTATTGTGACACGTATGATGCTAATTAAGCGATTTTTGAATAGATTTTTTAAGATATAATTATTGTATAGATTATCGATGGAAGTCTAATATTTCATATATACAAAATTAATAACTTTTTATTATAAATATCCTATAACTCAAATCTATTTCCATCATCAAATTCGTTTTAAAAAGTTCATTAAAATAAGATCCATTTACAATATATTTAAGGAAAAATTGCTGGGAATAATCCCACCTTTTGAGCCTTTTTTTTTTTTTTATTTTAATAATCCCACCTTTGGGATTTTTTTTAATAATCTCACTTTTATACCCAATCCGCTCAGAATGGTCCCAACCGGTCAAGTAACCTGTTATAACAAGTTACCTGACACGTGGCGACCTGTGATTAGTCAAAAAAATTAAAAAAAAAAAAAGAATTTTTTTTAGTTTTTCCTATTTATTATTATTATTATTATTAAAAAAAAAAAACAACAACAACAACAAGTCCTCCCCCTTCACGGCCTTTAGCCACCCCCTTTCCTCCTTGCCCGCATCCCTTCTCTTTCTCTGCGCCCGACCCCCATCCCACCAGCGACGCCCTCCCTTAATCACCCCGCTAGCACCCCTCTAGCCAGCAATCTCTTTTGCAACCTCTACTCGCATTCCTTTTACAAATCACCCGTAACTCCCTTTGCTGAACTTGACCCGGAACGCAGGAAAGGGATGTGGGTTTAGGTGGGCTTCACTGATTGTTGGAGGGGTGAGGATGGCTAGTTCAACGAGCTAGGGTTGGGAAAGTGGATTCGGGGTAGGGAGGGGGCTGGATGGGGCTTTACGGGTCGGGATTAGGGGTGAGGCAGGAGAGGAGGAGTGACGGCGACAAGGGTGAGGGGAGGGGGAGGACGATAGGGGTGGGGTGAAGGGAGGAGGAGGAACGGCAGGGGAAGATCCGGTGGGTGGGTTCGGGGTGGGGTTTATTTTTTTTTAATTTATTTTTTTAAAAATTTTGGACAAATCAAATTGTGACACGTATAAAATAAACTTAATAAAAAAAAAATTACCTCTTTAACCGGTTACTGGTCACCCGAGACCATTTTGAGCGGATTGGGTATAAAGGTGGGATTATTAAAAAAAATCCCAAAGGTGGGATTATTAAAAAAAAAAACGCTCAAAAGGTGGGATTATTCCCAGCAATTTTTCTTATATTTAATCACAAACTTTTATATGTAACTAGTCAAACCGTGTCACCAACTTTTATAAGAGTTATTTCGTGAGTGGTACAGGGGTTAATTGGTCAGTGGTATAGTGGTTACTCAACTAATGTTATAGATAAGGGTTACTCAGTTATTATTACAAGGGTTACTCGATCAGTTTTATAGGGGTTACTTTGTCCGGCCACATACAAAATGCATTGTTATTTAATTTATTTAAAAAAATAATAGAGAATCAGTAAAAATAAGTTTTAATCTGTAAAAATAATTTTAGTTTGGTAAAGATACTTTAAGTTCGTAATTTCAAGTCAATAATAACATATATATCTATTTACAAACAAAACTACAAAAAGTACACTATTATATAAATATAAGCCATATGATATCGTATGTATAAATATTCTACATTATCATAACGGATTATATGACCGTAATTATTAACATTCAAATAAAAATGTTATCTTAAAATTTTATCAACCATCAAACCATTGTCCGGGCACAAAACTAATATATAAAGCTTAACTTTTAGCTAGGCCACGAGACAGCGACACTTGGCATTTTAACTTTTCGCCAAGTGTCACGCCACGTAGGCAACAATTAATTATTAGTATGACACGTAGGATAAAAATGTTGGATAAATTTAGATATATTTTGTAAGATAAAAAAGTTAGTTTAGAGTTTTATTTTCAATATAATTTGGATAGATTTTAGGATAAAATTACTGGTTTAGAGTTTTATTTTCGATAAAATACCAATATATATGTACAAATAAAATTATAATCCTATTAAAAATAAATAAATTATAACTTTCAATAATTCTCCATAATTTATTATTTTTATATCATAATTTTTGTATTTAAGAGTATTTCCAAAAAAATTCTTTTATGATATACTTTAAAAATTATAACCCACAACTTTATGATCGGTAGTAATATATTTTTACTTTCAAACTGAGGGTTTCGAATAAAGTCTAGGAGTACTCAAAATATTAAATGTCAATGGAACCGTAAAATTAAATTACTCATCCGATTATGAACATTTAAAGCAACTAATGTTTCAAACGTGGATAGGTTTAGACATTAGTAATAATGCCTTTGAAAAAATCATTATTCCTTATAATTATTTTATAAGTAGCCAATTAATGTAAGGATTTTTAAAACATAAGGATATATATTAT